TACGCGGGCCTCTCACTGTTGTGGCCTCTCCCGTTGCGGAGCACAGGCTCTGGACGCGCAGGTTCAGTGGCCATGGCTCACAGGCCCAGCCACTCCGTGGCATGTGGGACCCTCCCAGACTGGGGCATGAACCCATGTCCCCTGCATCGGCAGGTGGACTTTCAACCACTGCGCCACCAGGGAAGCCCTAATTTTTAAATTTATTGGTATTTTGGTCTGGTTGAAAGTGCTTCAAGTTGGATACGCCAAATAGTTGACTAAATATACCAAATGTATAAAGCATTGGTCATTGTCCTTGAGATAAAATGTCACAATGATGACTAGTTATGGTGCTGGGTAGGATATAGTTTCCCTGGAAAGGGGGTCATGGAATAAGCCCTAGGAGGGTCTTCTTTGACGCTGAATCCCAGCATTTAGTACAGTGCTTGGCTCAGTACACATTTGTTGAATGAAGGAAAGGAGTCGCTTTTTGCCAAAGGATAGGAGCTTGGATTCACCAATGTTAATAACAGATATCCCTAATCATTTTCCATCCACTTACAGTTTTAATGCCTAGTTCTTTCTTATCATACATTTTATGTTTTGTTTTTTGTCTGTATGAACTAATTTTTTTTCCTTTTTTGTTTTTGTTTTTGTTTTTGTTTTTTGCGGTACGCGGGCCTCTCACCGCCGCGGCCTCTCCCGTTGCAGAGCACAGGCTCTGGACGCACAGGCTCAGCGGCTATGGCTCACGGGCCCAGCTGCTCCGCGGCAAGTGGGATCCTCCCGGGCCAGGGCACGAACCCGTGTCCCCTGCATTGGCAGGCAGACTCTCAACCACTGCACCACCAGGGAAGCCCTGTATGAACTATTTTTTAAAGAGTTGTTTTTTGCTTTTATTTTTGCCTCTTCTCCCCTTAATACTTAACTTTGGAGGTTGTAAATGGCAGTATTTTTTTTAACGGCCCAGCCATTAGAAAACACATATTTGAGTAGAGTTAGGACAGTAATACCCGCGAACATATGTTGAGTACATGCTGCATGCTAAGCCCACTGGGTCAGTGCTTTTATGCACATTTTCTCCAGTGATCCCTCACAACAGCCCATGAGAGGCTAAGTGACCTGCCCAAGGTCATAGGTGGAGAATGACAGAGTAGAAATTTGTATCTGGGCAGCCCAGCACAGAAGCTGTAGTTATAACCACATCTCAGAAATCTTATAAATCAGTGACACTAAGCTTTCACAGGCATTACAAAACATCTTCATATTTTCCTCAATTTATCCAGCACTTTTCTATGAACATTTGGTATTTTCCGTTCGTTTGCATTTGTGGTGTGAATGAAGAAGAATCTTCATTCTTTACAAATGAAATAAAATTATATCTAAATCCCAGAAATTAGTGTGTCCTCACTTGTACGAAGTTCAGGGTGGCACCATTTTCTCCAAGTTTTCTAATCAAGCTCAGACCGTTCACTGATTTTTGAAACCTTCTAACCAACCAAGAGAGGAGAGAAGCAGGAAATTTGGTAATGAGCTGGGGAGGATGACACATGGGTTATCCTTAACATTTTTATGGTAAAAGCTGCAAAAATGTTGCTAAACTGTGTTCATACATTAGAGGAGGAACAGGCAGACAATTAAAACTTGACATTGTGTCTCTTTATTTAAAATACAGTAAGTTCCCTACATATGAATTCCGTTCCAAGAGCACATTCGTAAGTCCGATTTGTTCATAAGTCCAATTTGTTCGTAAGTCCAACAAAGTTGGCCTAGGTACCCAACTAGCACAGTCAGCTATATAATACTGTACTGTAATAGGTTTATAATACTTTTCACACAAATGATACATAAAAAACAAACACAAAAAATAAAGAAAACATTTTTAATCTTACAGTACAGTACCCTGAAAAGTACAGTACAACAGCTGGCATACAGGGGCTGGCATCTAGTGAACAGGCAAGAAGAGTTACTGACTGGAGGGGGGAGAGGAGGTGGGAGGTGGTAGAGCTGAGGGATCGTCAGCAATAGGAGATGAGGGCAAGCTGCACATGACAGTGTACGCCAGACGCGTGAACTAACTTACGTGATTGGACATAGGAACGCATATTCACATCTTTGAAAGTTCTCAACTTGAAGGTCATATGTAGGGGACTTACTGTATTTTTCTTTTGATAAATTATATACATTCATTTGCTAAAACCCCAAGGAAGCAAGATTGAAAAACTCATGACCCCATTCCAAGAGGAAAGCATTGCTAACATTTAACAATATTTATGTCCATAGTTTTATTTCTTTGTACATACTTTTTTCAAACATGAATTATACTATACATTCAATTTCATAATTTGTTCTTTTTCTTTTAATGTATTTCATTGTATCTCATTTTAAAATATTTCAGAGACTAAGAGCAGTGATTTTAACTCTTCTCTTCCTCCACAGTCCTTTAAAGAAGCTTAGTTAAAAGCCCACTTGAATGATATTCTTAAAATGACAAAATTATAGAGACTGGGACAGGAGTAAGGAGTGGGTGTGACTATAAAGGAGTACAAGGAAGTTCTTTTGTTTGATGGAATAGTTGTGTATCATTGTTTTGGTGCTTAGGCTAATTTATACGTACTATCAAATGGCAAGGAACTATAAACACACAAACACACACACACACAAATGTGAGTACATGTGAAAACTGAATAGAGTTTAGTTAACAGAATTGCCCTGGTGTCAGTGATATTGAACTATAGTTGTATGAGAACTCACCACTGGGGGAAGCTGGTTGAAGGGTTCACAGGGTTCTATGTACTGCAACTTCCTATGATTCTACAATTACTTGAAAATTAAAAGTTTTTTTAATCCACTTTATAAAAGGCTAAATTAGATTTTAATTCAGGAACTAACTCATTATTAAAATGCAAGGTAAAGAATGGTAAAGTAGGAGCCAGGAGACCTGTGTTTTGATCCTGGGTCTGCTGGTGGACCTCTGTTTAGTCTCTTAACTTCTGAGCTTCATTTTCTTTTCCGGAAAATAAGAAAATTATGGTAGAAAATGCTGAGATCCCTTCAGGCTCTGATATTCCATAGGGTGTATAGATTTCTGTAAATCTATAAGTTTGCCAAATATAGGATGAATGCCAATAGTATGGTAGGTGTAGTCCAGAGGTTAGGGTTTATCTAACCTTCCAAGAGGCGAGAAATCTGTTTTTCTTTCTGTCTACCTAGCACTACGTTAGACATATGGTGATAGAATAGGACTCAGTCCCTAAAGGACCTCAAGAGAGAAATGGGCACATAGGAAGTACCTATACACGTATTCTAAGTTACAGAATAGACAAAGTTTGTTTACCTACCAAAATGTGTGTGATAAGGATAGTAGTAATTGCGATAGGAATTCTGAAAGAGATCACTATAGACTGCAGTATCCAAGGAAGACGTGGAATTTCAGATGTACGACTATCCTACTTTTACCATTAATTGCATCTCAGACTACGTTGCAAGGACCAGACTGTACATCTCAGACATACTTTGCTATTACATTGAATTATATCCACTCCTTCTTTATTCTGCCTCTAAATTTAGACTTACTCTGTAATTTGAGTTGGGTTAAAAGATGGTAAATACATCTGGATTTACTTGATGTTTTCTGCTTTTCTCTTTTTTTTCTCTCTCTTCTTGACCCTTCCTTCCCCTCCAACCAATTCCAGCTGAAAAAAGGAAGGGTGGGCAGACTGTGGATTCTAGCCTTCCTCTTCTAAGTGTATCTGATCCTTTCATTCCTCTTCAAGTACCTGATGCACCAGGTAGGTAAATAAAACTGATCTGAAGTTACATCCCAGGGCTTCTTGAGAGTTCTGTTTTAAAGACTCCATGAAAAGGACCTGAATTCCAATACCTATTAATAGGTGCTATTGTATATTTTTAATGTCTCAATAAGAGGGGCAAAATTCTCTTGGGTCACTAGTCCTTAGCAAAGGTAATAAATTCAGCTCAGATTATACCAAGTTGTATTCCACATCATATCAGTCTCAAGTTTCATACCCTTGACTGTGTTAATGGTAATATAAAGGGCCTGTGTATCGCACAGAGCATTAGTTCAGTGTGATTATAACAATGTGGGGGGAAACCTATAAGCCTATGATAGAAGGAACAAAATGCTAATGGTGTGGTATAATGACTGGATTATGAGTGACTTCCTGTTCCTATTTTGCTATAATGTGCTTTTATTTTTAAAAGATACAAATACATAATAAAATTTGATAGGGGGTGTGAGGAGACCTCCGTTCCACTTCCTTCCACTATCTGGGCTTGACTCTTCATCATCGAAATAAGTACTTCTAATCTCCCCTACTGTCTGCTCTGTACCGATTTTTAAGTAAGCAGTCTAAAATAGTAAGAAACGGTTAGTGTAGTCTGATTGAAATAGCTTTTGAAACAATATCATTGGATGCTTTCCATTTGGAGTTCGTGAATGCCAAAGATTTCTCTTCGCGCTCCCCTCCCCATCCTTTTGGGGGAAGGGGAGCAGAATGTGAGGAACAGAAGCCACCCTTTCTCTTCTTTTTCAGTCTCTTTGAAAAAGCAAATAGATCCAGCTCCTTAGAAACAGCTGACAGGCATTTTGCTGCTGATAGTTTTTTCTTTTCTCCCATTCTTACCCCTGTCGATTTCTTAAACTAAAAGTCTTAAACTAAAAGAACCTGCTTGGTTTTTCTTCTCTCCCAAAATGTCAGAGGGATTTATTTGTTTGATTGCCTCAAGATCAGAAGTGATTGTGATGTGCATATCCTCTACTTACTAAGACAGACCACAGCTAGGTTCCCAAGACGGTTTTTATTTCTTTAAGTAGTTTGTTGACCCTTCTAAGAGGAAGAAGAAATTTTCCCTGATCGGGTAGCATTGTGTAACTTTATAGCTTGCTGGACCTGGAGGTAGGTCAAAAATATCTAAAGTCACTAGGGAATGATTCAGGATAGGGTAGTTAAAGAAAAGAGAAGAAAGAATCAACAGAGGTCCTTTTCTCTGTTGCATTCATCAGGCGTGCCCGGCAGGGCCAAGACAGGCCAGTTTCAAGCAGAAGGCTAGAAAGGATGGGCTGTAAACTCGAGCTGGGGCCCACTGGCTTCCTTTTCCTCCCTTTTGTGGCAGTCATAAAATCAGACAAGGAAAAAGGGATTATTGAGGCCTTCTCCCTTTGGTACCCCTTTGGGTCCGTGCCTTGCTCTTACCCAGATAGCCCATGGACTGCAGAACTGGATGGGTGACCTCTTGGCACAAGCCAGAGGATGAAAGCATAAATCAGACATGTCACTCCTTTGCAGTCCAGTGAATTCTCAGATCACTGAGCAAAAAATCCAGGCTTCTTACCATACCTACAAGACCCTGACTAGTCTGGCCCTTGGCTACCCTTCTAACCTGAGCTCACAGCATTCTTCCCTTCAGTCTTTCCTCCAGTAAGCTAAGCTAAGCTTATTCCCACATCAGGGCCTTTGCACTTTCTGGTACTCTGCCTGGAAAGCTTTTCCTTCTTGTCATTCGACATTTGGGTCTCTGCTTAATTGCTGTCTTCTCGGAGAGGCCCGATGTGGTCCCACGGGCACTGTCACTCACACCCCCTGGCTTTTTTCTTCCTAGCATTTATCATGACATTGTCTGTTTCTACTTGTTCATTCCTCTTTCTCCACCAGAATGCCAGTGTCCTGAGGGAGGGACCTTGTCTGTCTTACTTACCAGTGTACCGTTAATGCTGAGAACACTGCCGGGTGTAGCTGGCACTCAATGAGTATTTGCGGATTAGATGAATAAAGTAAATGAAACCTGAGGCCGAAAGGCTTTTGGCAGCCCCATTACCCTCCATTTCCGTCCCCAGCTACCGAACACCAGACTGCTATCTCCATAGCCTTCCGTCTCTTGAGTCCGCCAACCCCTAGCCAGGCCTCCTTCCCACTCTTGAGGGGGCATAAACAGAGGCACAGCCCACATGTCAGGAAGCTGCCAAACCCTGGGATGAAAGTAGTAGCTAAGCTCAGCAGATCGTTCAGCTCCTCCTTTCATGATGCTTTCCAGAATTCGGGCTAAGTATGGCATGTGACCACTGTGTCTTTGATTACCTTATTTACTGTTATATGCCCAGCCTGTAGCACATTCAGTTATATAGCTCCTTTATCCCTGTATCCTTCCTCAGCATCTTGAAATGCCAGAGTGAGGAAAGGGCCGAGAGTTTACGGTCTCTGGTACCTTGGCAGACTGCAGGTTTGTCTCCTGCCCCTCAAAGCAAGCAGTTTGTCACTCCCTCCACCGGTGGTGGACACCGGTCAGGTGTGTTGGTTGGTTGGTTGGTTGGTTGGGTTTGCATACATGCTTCCCTCCCACACACAGCCTTCCTGATGGTGAGAATCATGGAACCTTAGTGTCCTGACAACTATGCCTTTTGTGACTTAACATTTTATTTTATGCTTTTTAAATGTTTTCACATATGATTTCCTTTGAGCCAGAAATAATACTGACCGGTGGGTATGTCCAGTAATCTCTCTCTTTGTGAGTAAGGAAGTGAGGCCTTAGTGCTGCTGTGACTGTGCTCCTTCCTCTTGGTGGCTCACAGCACCCACACAGCGAGGGGTCGTTTGGGGACAGATCCCATCTCAATAAATCCTTTGACTAGAGAGCTAAATTTAAGGGTTAGGGAGATACAAGAATGGATTTGAACTTGTAAAAGCTTGGTTCTAGCCACTTAATAGCTAAGAGGTTTTGGTCAAATCACTCAAACTCTGTGTTCTCCCCCTCGTCAGCATTGGCCATAGTAGAACCTACCTGTGGACTGGCTTGTGTGGCTCAGATGAAATCATGTATTTGAAATTGCTTTGGGAACTCTGAATTAGTATAAAGATAGGAAGTGCTATAATAGCTTTGGTTCCAGGCCCTTATTCCCATGGGCGCGGTCCTAGTTATCAAGAAGTCTTAGCAGTGGTATTTTTGTCTTACAGAAATGAAACTTGCTCTTATGACCTATGACCTTTGCACAACTAAGAGCCATCAAAGTAGAACTCCTTGATATTAGCAATTGTTAAACTCTAAGTGAAGGGACACTGGATAATTGGAGGTGTTTTTCTTTCTTTTTTAAGGAGTATTTTTATTTTCCAAAGCATTGTAAAACAAATTTTCTTAGAAAATCTGGCATAAAAAAATCACAGCCGAGCATTTGTGTGCTCATAAAGCTGTCACATGAAGCCTAGCTCTAGTGAGCCTCATATGCTGTGTGTTCATTTATTTTGCCTGATGCTCATATGCTGTGTGTTCATTTATTTTGCCTTTTATTTGTATTAGGGAACAGATAAGCTATCTGGTTTTTTTTTGTTTGTATTAGGGAACAGATAAGCTAGGTGGTATCAAAGGTTTAAAAAAATGGTAGAGAAGATTGAGGAATTTTCTCTGAAAATTGGTGGAAAGATTTAATCATTTAAAAAAATTGTGGTAAAGTATATGTAATGCAGAATTTCCCACTTTAAAGTGGACAGTTCAGTGGCATCAAGTACATTTATATTGTTTACAGCCATCACCACCATCCATCCACAGAACTTCTTTTCATTTTGCAAAATCGAAACTCTGCCTATTGAACAATACCTCTCCATTCCTCTCTTCCCCCAACCCCTGGCAACCACCATTCTACTTTCTGTCTCTATGAATTTGACTACTGTAGGTGCCTCATATAAGTGGAATTACACAATATTTGTTCTTTTGTGACTGGCTCTTTTCACTTAACATAATGTCCTCATGGTTCGTGCATGTTGTAGCATATGTCAGAATTTCTTTTTAAAGCTGAATAGTATTCTGTTGTTTTGTTTATCCATCTGCCAGTTGACACATGGGTTGCTTCTGTCTTTTGGCTACTGTGAATAATGCTTCACTGAACGTGAGTGTGCAAATATCTCTTCAAAACTCAAGACTCTTTGAGGTACATACCCAGAAATAGAATTACTAGAACCGATGGTAACTCTATTTTTAATTTTTTGAGGAACTGCCATACTGTTTTCCACAGTGACTATACCTTTTTACATTCCTGCCAGCAGTGCTCAGAGTTTGAGGAAAACATTTTTATAGCAACCCCTTAATACTGACCTTTCAACATCAGTGTTCCACAAGACTGAGCAAGAATGCACTAGTTGCCCCGTAAGTGCCACTTCCTAGAATTAACAGCTGTTTTTTAAAAAGTACTTCTTGGCTTATGGCGCTCCGTCTTCTCTTGAAAAGTAAGCAAGAGGAGCTGTGTTTTCTCAGTGCTTTGTTGTCAAGATAGGCATTCCTCTCAGAGCTATTTGCTTGGCATCTCCGTCACTTCCAGTTGCTGTCTTGTGATATTTTAAAAGTCCAAGGTTGATCAGAGCATATGTCTTTACTCTGGAAAGTTTTTCTTCCCACAGATTCAGTTCTCTAAAATGGACTCGGAATGGGTCATGGTGGTTGACTTTTGATTCCAGCTTGCAGATGTCACAGATGGTTTAGTGTCTGGTTTCTCAGTGATAGGAGCTAGAGCGACAAAATTCTAAAAACGGCATCTCTCATTACAAGACATCAGGGCTTACACCCCAAGTCAGACAAGACGTAAATTTCCAAAACCACAAAGCTGTAGCAGCCAAATCATCTTTTTCGATGGGGCTTGCATCTGGCTCTTCCATGTCTGTAAGTTCAGTCTGCTTTAGTCCTCATAGCCGTAGTCCTAACTAGGGTTGCAGTGGGCCTTGAGCAAGCCCTTAGTCCTACTAGCCTGTATAAATAGATATCTACCCTCATCTTTGATATTTTAAAA